GAGGGTAATACCTGATGGGATAATCTTGCATCTGCCCACAGTCCTTGGGTTTTTATAAGGTGGCTTGACCCAAGGACCATTTAGTGTAAATGTTGGGCACATTAAGAGCCCATGGTGATGGACTCAAGGGTTCACTGTTTCCTACAGTGAATTCGGCCAGGCCTTGTAACAGAGGCTGGGCTGAACCCATGTGACTGATGTGTAGATCAAAGTTTGGGTCCCACGCCATACATGGATACCCAACTGGGCAACAGTTTGGAAGATAAGAGAGCACATGGACTTAATGGGCCTAAAGCCCAGTTCGAACTGGTTTAATATGATTAATTAAAGAGGGGTGGTTCTGGGATTTAGATCAACAGATAGGATAGGGAGTTATCCCTTTCCACTCAGAGAGTCCAGATCCAAATAGAGATTTGGATTAGGAAACTCCTAATTAGATTAGGAGGGCTGATCTTTATCTGCAGATAAAATAAGGGATTATCCTTATCTCTTAAAGAGTGTCCAGATCCAAATACAAGATTTGGATTAGGAAACTTCTAATGGGATTAGGAGAACCTCTCTTTAAGGCTATAAATAGAGGAGAAGGGCGAACCCTAGTTCACCCCATCAGATTACTGATACAAGAGAGAAGACAGCTGCAGTTGGACTGACGCCATCTTTTGCTCTTGCCTTCTATTGCTGCCGCCATTGCCAGTTCGATCTCCACCTGTAGGAGCGATCAAGAAAGGTTCTTGATATCAGTTTTTGGAGAAAAACAAATATGAAGTCGTGCTCACTCGCCCTCCATCAGATTCTTCGTGAAGAATCAGGTTCTTGCTAAAGAACCACCCTACTGATTCTGCTCCACCCTACGYTGTGTCATCTTCAGTGGAAGCAGTCTTTGGTGATCTCCTTGGGCGCGAACACCTTCATTGGGAGTTACTACTACTCTGTATCAGGTATTTCCCTCTCCTACCTTTTAGTTTCAGATCTGGTCTAGTTTAGGGTTCAAGATTGATCCTTGAAAATGCAGTTTTCTAAAAAAGGGAATGTGATTCCCACATGAGAGAAATTTTTGAAATTTCGCCCAACCTACCTGTAGGGTTCGGCTATCCATATGATGGATCTCTCATCCCTTCAAAACCTTCCTCCATAAATGAGGAGAGAGAGAGAGAGAGAGAGAAAAAGAAAGAGAGAGAGAGAGATGAAAGTAGATAGAAAGTGAATGGAGGATTGGGAGAACTCAACTATTCAAGGATCTCTAATAAATAGCTCRCATGGCCTTCTCTTATATACTTCTTTGGTGGAAGAAATGCCACACGTGAAAGGCCGATGAGGTCCTTTACTCGATCTGGGCCTAGACTCCATGGGCTTGTGGGCTGACCTAACAGGTCCCGTCCCCTTAAGATTGACCTTGCCCTCAAGGTCCAGATGGGAATAATCCTGTTGGAGTTGAAGATATGGTTCGCATGTGGCATCTTGAACAGGTAAATGAGGCCATGCCACAAATACTCCTGGAAGCCTGGTATCACCCAGCCACCCTTCCTAGCCCAGAGGAAGCCCACAGTTTGCAATGGTTCAGTTACTAGGATGCCTTCTTCAGTGAACTGAGGCAAGGTGGGACTACTGATCTCTCCCTCTTTATGGCACTTTTTGATGAGAAACGTGAAATATAGGCTGGATTTTGGAAGTGGCAGCCATGCAGGGAACTTTAATTTGTAGGCGATTAAGCCAATCATCTTGAGAATTTTAAATGGGTCAAAGTAACATGCAACCAATTTGTTGCAGGCCTGTTTTGCTCTTGTATACTGTCCGTTGGGCTGGAGCTTAAGGAAACCGAACCCATCAACCTGGTACTCCATTGGGCAAAGATTACAGTCATAATATTTCTTCATTGTCTACTGAGCTCGCAGGAGATTACTTTTGAGCTCTTGAAGGATAGCATCATGCTGCAACAAATGTTCTTCAGGAATGGCCACAGAAGTAGATCCCTTCTAATATGGAAGGACTTGAGTAGGCTAACGGCCATACAAAGCTTGAAAGGGAATCATTCCCACTGCTTCCTGATATGTGGTACCGTACCACCATAAGCCAATGGCAACCACTTCATCCATTGGTGAGGGCAATATCAAATGAAGCAACGGAGATAAGTTTCCACACAATGATTGATGACCTCAGTTTGGTCATTTGATTATGGGAGGTAACTTGTAGAATGCTGAACATGGGCTCCTTGAAGCCTGAAAAATTCAGCCCGAAACTTACTCATGAATAATGGATCCTAGTTTGAAAGTATAGACCTTACTTGAATTTACTGCTGTTAGCAGAACTAATTTAGGATGAAAAATAACCCAGAAAAGAAGAGAGGAGAAAAAAAAAAGGAAAGAGAGAAGAAAGGAAGAAGAAGAGCAAGGGGGCGGAATGTTATGTTGCTGCCACCCTAAACAGTATTATTTATATGTGTTAACATAACATGAAGTAAAATGTCAGAAATAGCCTGCCGCCTATGACAGTACAAGAAAATAACAAAATAAGTAAMAAAGTAATTCAATGAATGGGACCACAAGAAGAAACAACAGGTCTGGTCCACTGTATCACTACATTCCCCCTCAAGTTGGGAATAGATGTTGATCATTCCCAACTTGCACAAATCTGATTCCAATTTGACTTTGGTGACTGCTTTGGTAAAGAGATCAGCAAGCTGCATATCGGAGGCACCATATGGAAAACATACATCTAGAGAGACACCGCTAGATTGTTTAGTTCTCTCAGATGAAGTGACAGTCGACCTCAATATGTTTAGTTTTGTCACCGCTAGATTGCGTTGTGAGCAATATTAATGGCAATCTGATTATCACAATACAACCTCAATGGCTTCTCACACTCAATTCCAAGTTCCCAAAGAAGAGATCTCAGCCATAAAACTTCAGCCACACCATGAGCCATGGACCTATACTCTGCCTCAGCAATTGAGCGAGCAACAACATTTTATTTCTTGATACGCCATCACACTAAATGACTGCCAACAATAGCATAGTACCCTAAAGTTGATCTCCTATCATCAAAACATCTGACCCAATCAGCATCAGTGTACAGCTCTATCTTCATATGGTCATTATTCTAAGTAACCAATGCCATCAGTTTGAGTATACCCCTTTGCAACCAGATGGGCTTTATACCTTTCAACTGAACCATCTGCATTATGCTTCATAGTAAACACCCATTTGCACTCCTATGGCTTCTTCCCTTCTGGCTTGTCTATTAGCTCCAAAGTCTTATTCTTAAGGAGGGCATCCATCTCTTCCTTCATTGCATGCTTCCACTTAGGTACCACAAGAACTTACTCGACAGTTCTAGGAATAGATACACAGATTTAGAAGCCAAATAGAATTTATAGGATGGTCAGAGATGACCATAGGTGATGAACCAAGAGACGCAATGGGCAGTAGATGAAGTGCACCAGTGCTTCCCTTTACGGACAGCAATGGGAAAATCAAGGTCATATGGAGGAGGAGGGCGTAAAGTATCGGAAGGTGAGATGAAGTATCAACAGGCAAGGAAGTGATCATACCTTAATCTAGAACTACAAAAGTGACAGGAATTGGTATAGATTGATCATGAGCACCAAAATCAACCTACCTCCACCTCCTAGGAAAAACCCTCAACTCCCTACACCTCTGACAAGCACCCACATTATGCAAATCTCCTTTAAGAATAGGAATAGGCAAAGGAACTTCAAGACTAGGAACATCCCTCTCACTACTCTTCCCTGAGAAAAAACTCCTGGGTAATAAGGAACATCTTGAAAGAAAATAACATCCATGGACACAAACCAAGAGCCAAAACAAGGATCATAACAACAATATCCCTTTTAATTTTTTGCATAACCGAGGAATATACATTTTGTAGCCTTATGGTTGAACTTAGAATGATGAGGTCCCAAAATTTGAACAAAACATTTAATATAGTTCTCAACACATTTAAACAAAAAAAAAAAAAAAAAAAAAACCACTTTAATGGTTTATAAACATTGTGACACATCAAAACACATTTAATAACAATTGAAAAAGGATGGAAGAATTAAAATTTTAATGTATTAATTTTCACAAAATCAATATAGTTTGTATTACTTTTTTATTAGTATATAAACTTTAATAATCAATTTTAGCATTTATTACMAAACATTCCTTGAGAAGATCAAATTTACTTAAGAATTAAAGTGCATATGTTTATGAAACAAGCAACTATAATATGGCACAATGGTAGACTTATGATCATTACAAATTAATGACTAAGGTACAAATCCTCTTATTTGTAGACTTTAATTTTTATAGCCAGTTTAAAGTGTGTTTAATGCATATGATAAATTCAAATTTGAATTTGAATATTGATTAAATGTAGCATTAAATAAAGTAGTTAGTTTAAAGGCATGTTTAATATAGCATTAAAAATGAGTAATTAGAGAGAGGGGGACTAATCATGGGAGTTATAGATGGTAATTATAAGAGTTATTAGAAAAAGAGAGGAGGAATAGTAAATCAGAATGTACCGGTCGATACATACATAGTATCGGCTTGTATCAGGTCTGTATCGTCCAATACAGATCCGAAATGACCTGATACGGACATGTATCGAACCAATACAGATGAAAAGAAACAAAACCCTTGATTTCATTGCTTTCCATGTATTGGACTCCTACAGAAACGATACATATCAGCCGATACGGAATCATACGTTACGAAATTTTAAACCTTGGTCACAAGGATAAACATGCATTGAGCAATGCTAACATCTAGAACCTCATCAAACCAAGAGAGGAAAGTTGTAAACAGGGTGTTCAATGCAAATATCTTTGTGGTGATGCAAGGCTAAGGAATGAACAATCTTATGACACTAGAATCTGCTACGTTGTCTTTAAACTACTAAATTGAACTACCAATTATGAAAGATCTAGAATAACTAAGAATTATACCACCAGAGCTTACCGTCAATACAACTATAGCAGTGGTTGCAGTAAATATCGTCTGGCCATGTCCTTCTGGGAGATCATGAACTGATTGTAGAGCAAGAGCAAATGCCATAGCCCCTCGAAGTCCTGCATATGAGAAAAAGCAATAATTTTTTTTTTATCAATAAAGAAAAAAAAAGTGCTAATAGTTAGCACTCCTGATTCTCCTGATGATCATTTAGATATTGTCTATCCTCACCACTATACCAAAGTGCTTTTTGGTGTCTCAAAGGTATTTGTCGATTTGCAGGTCGAAACAAGTTGACCAAATATGCACACGAAAAAACATTAGCCGCCCTTCAAGAAAGTGAGAAAACTGGTTATTAGCTTCTTATAAAACAAACATCATGCACTGGTTTATACAATACACAATTACCATCTGTCAGTATACATGAAATGAGCAAAAATTAGAAAATTGAAAACGATTAACAAGTACTTATTAGTTGTTGCACTCAATAACCAAAACATTTTAAGAAAAAACTAACATGCAAAGGCAGTCAACCATGCATTACGTGATGCATGGTCATAAACACCAATATGTGTGTTACACCACCAATTTCAAGTTTCCGAGAAAAAAGAAGGGTACATGTTTTCAGACAGAAAAAGAGTTAATCCTTCTTGCCTACTGTTTACTGCCAACAGAATTGGGCAATGGTCTGAAATAGGGCTAGAGAGTGAAGATATAATGAGCCTAGGAAAACAGTCACCCCAATCACTAGTAATGAAAAACCTATGCAGTCTACAACATGCCGGTCCAGTTTGAAAGTTTGTCCATGTAAATTTGGTTGGAGGAGTGGATCTTTTAACTTGTCATTTTATGAAAAGAGTATAACTTCCTTATTCTGGTTATGATAGTTCGTTTCCTATTGTTTCCTATTAGTACATTCCACCAGAAAGCTTATTGCATTGAAATCACCACTCAAAGTCCATGGGCCATCCCAAAGACTTGTATTGGAGTTTAGCTCCTTGATGCATCTATCAAGATGCAGCTAATGTTTCATGTGTACCAAACAGGGTCAATGAGTAGCCCTGCTGTACAGTCCACCAAACAGTCCCTAAACTACTTGTTTAGGGACAAAGGAGCTCATTCTAGCAGAATCAAAACCTCTAGTGTCTGAAGAATCTGAAAGAAACCAGGGATGATATTCTCTGTTTTGTACAGGAAAACATAGAAAACAAGAGCAGGAATAGGGGTGGCAAATGGGTAGGTTGGGTTTGGGTTGAGTGCCAACCCACCCATATTGACCCCATTTTCCACCYGTATTTTATTGATCTTAGTGGATAACAACCCATCCTGATCCTGACCCACCCATATGATCCTCTAACCCAAACTAGAATTGTTTTCTAAAAAAACTTATATTTCAATTAAAATTGATAAAAAAACTAAAAAAATTATATATTTCAATTAAAAACAATAATTGCAAAAAAACAGAAAATGATAAAAATAACAAAAAAAATTATATTTTAGATTTTCTAAAAAAACAAAAATTGCAGAAATTTCTAAAATTGATAATTTAAAAAAAAAAATACATGTTTCACAAAAAATAGAAATTGCAGAGAAATACATAAAATGATAAAATAAAATTAAAAAATGATGCATTTCAACTAAAAAAGAAAAAATTGCAGAAAACACATAAAAAAAGATAAAACAAATTCAAAAAATAAATATTTCAGCAAAAAATCAAAAATTACAGAAAAATACAGAGATGTATAATCTACCCAAGTTCTTCTTTTAAAGGAAATCTCAAGTATTTATTCTTCACAAGCAGGCTTTCCACACAAAGAAGCAGATTCTTAAAGGGATATGGCTGCACCAGATCTTCTTGAAAGGGAATGTGGGATTCTGATCACCTGCAATCAGAGCTTTGAAAAAAGATTTGGAAGGGTGGTTGCAGTGAGTGACGGATAAGAGAAAAGAAATAGGAGAACTAACACACAAAGAAGGGGAAGATGAAACTCTTGAAGGAAGCTGAAGGTTGTGTAGGGTCTTAGGATGATTTGCTCACAAGTCCCATCCTTATCATTTTGCAAGGTAGAGACGACTACCTGTGTCTGTTCAAGCAACTCTACACTCCCCTAAGTTTCCTCCCATGTGAACAGAGTTTTCGCACTCTCAAAAGCAATCTCCTAAGGATCTGGTCCAGCCTCCGTATATGAGCTTAAGTCTTCATTGGAATCATCTTCTTCGTAGAGAGAGGAGGAGCTACACCTCAACGAGGATGTTGGGGACATGTGAATATCTCTCTTTTGACCCCCTGAGCGAGGAAGGGTTCCCAGTATCAACTCACCTTTAAAGAAGGGAGTTTCAGGTAGGCTCAAGAAACCTGCGTCAATCTCCGCCAAAGAAGAATGAGCCTTGGTCTTGAGATAGTTCAAATCCTTTAAGTAGTTGGGTCTTGGGTAGGATTTAGAGACAAAAGCCTTCGAGTCCAAGATAGTTCAAACCCTTTAGGTCAAGAGGTTTCCTTTCAAATACTTTTTGAAATTTGAACTTTCTGTTTAAAAGCAACATGAGTTGTTTTGGTTTTGGGCTCTCTTTTTGACCGAAGGCATGAACTGGGTCTTTTAGGGAAATTCTGTGTCTRGCCCAAGGAATTAAGTCCAGTCCTGCCACCAAGTTTCCTTGTGTTTTACAAAAACTTCCCAAGGTGACTTTTGGTTGGTTAACATCTAAAGCRCTGCCACATGTTTCGGTACCGTTGTGGTGAGTTGACACACTGAGTTTTGCAACAGACTTGATCGTGTTCTCCACCTCCACTGAAAGGTAAAACCAAATGTTCCTATCTAACATAGGGATTGAACAAGGAATAGCATGCACTCCACGGTTCAACACCTTGTCCTATAGAAAAATTGAGCTCAGAAAACCTCTTGCCTCAATAGGTAGAACAATAACTGTCAAATCTTTAACCATCCATTGAAGCTCAAGACCTAGGAAGTGCATTAAYCATCAGCCGTCACTGTTCTAACTAGGCCCAATGACCCAATCACCATACAAATGGACTTTTTCCTGTTTGACTCAAGCTAGCACCGATGCCTCCATAGGAGTGAAATCTGCGATCTTTTTTCTTCAAAGAGAAGCAACCACAGAAGTTCTTGAGAATGGAGGTTGGCAAACAAACTTTAACACAACTGCTCTACTTTTATTGTGTGAGGTTTAGAACAGATGAAGGCAAGTTTCTAGATGCCAAAAGGTTTATCATGGCAAACAGTGTTTTAAAAGGCATGGGAGGCGTACACCTGGAGCTGGAGGCGCGCCTCCAGGCGAGGCGCTCCCAAAACGCCCTGAGGCGTATGCCAGAGGCGCTGACACCTCTGAGGGAGCTCGCTTTGCTCGCTCGCCTCCGCTTCGACAAGACCCCCCCCCCTTTCAACTAATGTTATGCATTTTTGTTCTTCTTAATATAAAAGATTTTTATTAAAAATAAAGAAAAAATGAGATCCCCCCTTCCTCTTCATCCTCCTCCTAACCCCCCTCCTCTTAAGGAGGCTTGCACCTCCTTGTGTTCGGGAGGCTTACGCCTCTTAACTATGCCTCATGCCTCTAGGTAGTGGAACGCCTCGTGTCATGCCTCCGCATTTTAAAACATTGATGGCAAACAACTGAGATGTAGGCTGACCCTCCTRCTTTGATGATTTTGTTTTTCTTTCCAACTTAGGAAAGAAATCCGGCAAAAGTCCTTCGTAGCAAGGAATTTCTTTAGGAGGAAAACATAAGCTCAGCATTTGGTCAAAAATTTTTGAACTGCTCAATTGAACGAACCTTCCCCGCTTATTTTCCTTCAACTATATCAGAAAGATTCTTCCCTTTTCCACTCACTTACAATCCGCCCTCAGGGAATTTTCTCTGATTCTTTAGCACCTCCTGAAGAAACTCACTCATCCATTTTACATCCTCCTTTTGCAAGAAAATCCTTGTCCAAGCTCCCCTACCTCTTTCTGTCACCACAACCACTTGTTGTTGGATGTTCAGCCCCCATTCTACTTTGAAGGTTTTTKAACTGATAGCTGCTAATCTTTTCTCCATTCTGTTTTGTCTTCATTCAAGCCACAAAGCTCCCCATTCAGTGAGAAGCAGAAGAAGATCCACTCTTAGAAGCATCTAATTGTTCTCTTTTGTTGTTCATTGTTTCTTTTTTCACTTTTCCCATATTAACTTGACTTACGTTCAGTCATGGGAATTAGTTCAACTTTCAATATGGAGGATTTTGTTTCCTTATTAAGGCACCTTCAAGCCACCTACTTTACCTGCAGGTGTGTCCATAACCAGAATTACTTCACCTCAAGGATCAAAGTATCAGTATCGAGTATCGTATCGGACTGCTCAGATACGCTTTGGAAAYGCATGGATACGAACGAAAAATGTGGAAACACTTGRATACATTAGGAAAATAAATACAAATTCCATAAATAAATTATTGACATTAAGTTTAATGTCAAAATACCTACAAATAATGTATAAATACATAGGAACTGTATATTTTAATGGTATATATGAAGAAATATATTACAATTAATATAGCAGGATGCATATGTATAATACAATTTTATTGATATTTGATAATGCATCAGTCGAGTCCAAGACACATTATATAAATTTTTACAATTTAATACATGCACAAAGCCATTATTATCATATTTTTTATTAAAGTCCATGGCACAAAACATATGCAACTAATCTATTCAAATTATTATATCAATTTTTTCTATTTTACTATTTATAATTTTTAACATTGCCAATAATGTCAACTAAAAAATTAATTCTCAAATGTTTGGTACACAATATTTTCATTTTTGTAAACAATAAATATGTTATTATAAAATATAAATTAAAATGTTAATAAATAATTTATAAAAATATAATCCTAACTTAAAATATATCAATCGATTAAAATTTCAAAGATACATACCATATGAAAATTTATAAATTTTAATTACTAAGATAATTATTCCATTATTTATATTTTATTTTTACAAAATTTTAAATAAAAAATAATAWTTTTTTGATATAAACATAGATTAGTGGATTTGATAGATTCAATTTATGTTACATTTTCAAATAATTTGTAAATAAGAAATAAATTGTTGTTTAATACAAATTAAAATATTAATTAATAATTTATAAAAAATTTAAGATACATATCATGTGCAAATTTATAAATTTTAAGTATTAAAGTAAATATTTTATTATTAATATTTTTAAATTTCTTGAAATTAAAAATCATTTTTTGATATAAATGTGTATTTGATAAATTATTTATTCAATTGGTTTATAAAATATTAATTTTAAATATTGTTCT